ATGAAAGTGATACAGGAAAGAAATATAGTAAATAATTGACAGTGAATTTATCAAAAACATCATCCTTAGAGAGTATGTTCTGGGCACGATCGTTTAGAAGCTTTGCAATACTTTAACTCTTTCAAACGCGCATCAGCTCGAGATTAGGTCCTGTTTACAAAATGGCGACTGGAAGTAGCAAGGCGGATTAAATTGGAATTTAAATTGCGTATATTTCGGCAAGTAAACATTGTTCACAAAGCCCATGTGGTCTGTTCATCTAATTTAGTCAAGATGTACTCAGAACAGTCGTTGTTTAGTCGCTAGGGTCATTCACAAAATAATTAGTATTATTATATAAACTTATTGTAATTATTGTAATTACAAAAGTTTAGGACATTGTTCGGATACCGGCTCAGTTTTGTTTTAATATTTGTTCGATAAAATTAAAAAAAAAAAGTCGCAATGAAAAGGGTATTTAAAAAAAATGGACTGCGTAACGAGTCACGCTTAAAGTTTATTAATATTCCACTTTTTAAGCATTTTTTATCGATTTTCAATTGATTTGTTATCAAAAGAGCAAATGATTAACTCTAGAAACAAACTGATGAAAGTCATTGTAAATGTATCAATGAAAAGTATGCTAGGTATGAATGATAAACAAGTAAACAAGTTGTTCTGTAAAATCAACTTTGACATCTATAAACAGGAGATGCTTTCATAGTGTTAGTAAACCTTAGGCTACTAGAAATACTGTCAAGTCAAAATTCAATCCCTGGCTGTATACCATTTTTACAGTTTTTGTACAGTTACAATTAATGGTGGTTAAAGAATATCTTTGTACATGTATCAGTTTCAAGTATAGTAGCATTAATATCATCACTCCATTGTGAACGACCATTGAGATATACATATTGTATACACTTCCCAATACTCAACATGCTGAAATAAAAGTATACCTCAGGAACTTGTACAGTGTTCAATTGTAAACCTAAACGTAGAAAATATACTATGAAGTTTTAACATAAGTATCAATCATCTTAAATGTACACTATGTATGCATATAAATATATATATTTATATCGTCCATTGAATATTATCGACTGCATAAAACATCGAACTGTTTTTTTTCAATTCCCACAAAAATACATCTCTTCCGGTTAAGTCTTATATCAGTTTAGATAACCCGTAAAGACGTGATCATAACGTACGTCTATAAAATGAACTGGACAAAGAAGAAAGGAGGGCTGGATCTTTTTGCCGTCTAACATAGCTGTTGAAGCGACTTTAATTAAATACTTGACACATAAACTGTCGAATGCAGTACTTTGTTTCCCGCGCTGGCTTATGATTTGATATTCTGCTGATGTAAATTGGTGAGTAGCTGGAGAAACTATAAAACATGTTACCTTACTGAAACGTTTTCAGATTTCAGAACATTTAATTTACGTTCACAATGAAAATTCGGATGAATGCTGCTGCTTATTTTTAAGTATTTGTTTTACCGATTTAAAGATAGAAATTACCGAGTAATTATTGGCATTTTTAGGCCATGGCTCATTTGTGGAAATCTTAGATTTTATGTTGTCACTTAATTTTATTTCCTTCCTTCCAAATACATATAATAATAAGGATAATATACAGCATGTGATATAGCGCCCCACCTAGCTAACATAATCCACTCTAAAATGCTTTATAATACATAGATATACAATTATACATTTATCAATACAATCATTGAGGAATTCGTAGAAGCTGTCTTATCAGACGCTTACTACAAAATGTACTAGTCTTATGCCACCTGGCTAATATCTCATTATGTGTGTATATCTGCGTGTGTGCTGGAGATGTACTGTGTTCTGTTTGTAGTGGGACCGTGCTTCCAGGGACATCATTTATAGTGTCACCTCACTTGAATGCTACAGCACAGATACCGCAACATCAATCCCAGACCAATTTATACTCCACCTAAGTTGTTGGAGTTGTGTGGGCAAGAGAAAAAAAATCGAACCTGGCCGCCTGCGTGGAAGGCCGGAGGTTTACCACTCGACCAATCCGCCCATAATCCATTTGAATGTGAATAGTTATGAGTTAACTTAAATATCGCATGTTTCATGTCATATTGCTACCATTATTATTAAACCGCATAATTATGATCAATTCGCCTGATTCATTATGTGTTGGTATATGTAAACGATATCAAGATCAATTGTGTTTTTTCCGTTTTATTTTGGAACATTTTTCTCGTATGAAGTTAAAGACGACAAAAACAGGTCGGCGCTAGAGCACGATGTAACCCTGCACAGTCTGACTTGTTGACTTCCTTTTAACATCTTTATCCTTTGACTTCCTTTTACAACTTTATAGGATAAAATCCATCAACTGCAAAGAAGTTTCAATACGAATTGTGTGTTAATACTTGAAACCAAGATAACAAACTTTTTTCAATTACTTGAGACAATCCTGAATGACACAAAATAAAAAATTATACTTATTACATAAGACACAACTAACTTAGTAACATCTTTTGAAGTAATCATTGTACTTAGCATATGCATCACAAACTATCGATAATTATTATTATGATTATCTAGAAAGGACGCATGAGTTGAACCTCAATGCTCATATATCAGTAACAATTTGTCATGCATATGTGTTACTGCTGCTGCAAAGGTTCGTGTACATATACAGTGGACTGGTGTGATCTTCAGGTCGTCTTGTTAATCTGACAGTTTGTTTGTTTCTTAACTGTGGGGCATCAATAGTGTGGTACAGCAAACTGTTTCCATGACTCTAAAACTGAAGAGCTGATCACTGCTCTCCAATCGACAACATTGTATTGAGGCATTGTTCTACTGATGTATCCATCTTGAACAGGATTCTGGTCATTATTCCGTCATACATGATGCTCAGGATTTTAAAGACGTGAAAAATATCTCGTCTTACCGGAGATATTGCTTAGTAAATCACATCAGTTCTCTATTTTTACAAAGCTATTCAGCACTCATTTCGTTTCAGACTTTGCAATGGTACTAGTTTAACTGACGGGCCTGTAATTTCCCAGTTCACATTGAATCCCTATTGGAAGATCGCAGTCACATTTCCTTCATGCGATGCTTGAGGTAAATATGACGGGGTCCTTTGGATAGTGATTTTGTTCAATATTGCAGAGAGCGGTACGCTTGTATTTTCATTTAGACAATTCGGTGTTTTAAAATGCGTTTCATATTGTCATTGTAATATGCATATAATTTGTTAAATTCTTGTTAGATTAGCAGCGGATATTCTGTGCAGCTTTAAACAGATGTCTATCATCTAAAATTGTTTTGGTTTATTGTTATTGAAGGGTTAAAAGCATATACGGTTGTACGTGCGTGTTGTTGACGCTTCTGTGATGAGACACGTGCGTGTTTTTGACGCTTCTGTGATGAGATACGTGCGTGTTTTTGACGCTTCTGTGATGAGACATGTGCGTGCAGGAAATACATATCATCTAGATAGGGGTAAAATGTCGATATGTTACATATGTAACCAAATATCAATGTATATGAACATAACTTACAAAATATGACAATCAGTTACCCCTTTGTTACAGTTAATAAGAGAGAATGAGGAAATGTGAATAGAGTTTTTTATAATATCATCCTATAATACATTCCAAGTGATATTTAAGAAATTCTGTCCCACTTCAGGCGAAAAAACTAGAGCGTTTCACTGTATCAATGTGAAGTAAACGGACTGATGCCATATACGGGTTAGGATAGATTGCAACCGTATTATTGAGGTACGAATTCGTCGGTTTACCTTTGTTTTTAAGACTGACACATTCATGTTTTGTTTTCACCAAGAGTTACTTCCCTTTATTTGTAAAGTATTGTTCATTTAGGGTTAAAAAAAAAATCTGTTCCTGTAAAAACAATGTTAGCGTTTCAGAAAGAATTTGTATATATGCGAGTCTGCACTCCTTAAACAGAACGACATGGAATCACATTATTTTGATTGAGTTACATATATTGGAAATATTCGAAGTACTTCAAGTACAACAGGCGATTGATTTGCCCAAATAAACACATGTATTGACATTCAAATGTTAAGAGATATACTCTAGAGGATACTTAAACTTTTTTTTTTATTCCCACTTTATAATCAGTTTTATAACATCAGTAATATAAACCTCAGAGTAAGTGCTGAAATGTACAAAGCCGGGTACCACTGAAGGGTAAGAGCTTCTTTAAAAATGAGGCAATGTATTGATGGAGCAGATGTCCTCCAATTCACAGACGTTTAAAAGGTATTGATGGTATCGCTGTATCAGACATATTTATGTCACTAATATTGTCCATCTATCAGGAGCATTAGGAGATTCTAATGGATATGCCATGAACGGACAATAGTCGACACAAACATATAGTACTTGGTAAAGAGGTTGTTCTTCCGATAGCGTAGATTCAGACATTACCGATAGAGCATACGTATGTTCAATGGTCCAATATAAATATATAGTAGTCTATAACCATTAGAATCATACATAAGGAAAGATAAGAAATCCTGCACAGGTAAATAGACAAGTCAGTAAAAATATGTTACACGTGTAATATTTGGTATATCAATATTGACACAGGTATTGAATAATGTTTCGTACGGCACTGTGATCACATGCATAATTGTAAATAGCCGATACAAATACAACGCGTCGTTCAAGCTCACCTTTACCGTCACATCACTACATACATTTCATTGTGTTGGAACTTTAAAACGAATTGCCCTTGTCCTTTTCACATTCCTTTATCCGTAATAGAAGCCATATACTTCAAATGAATGCTCACTTCATATCGATTTCAAAAGACCGGTTAAATAACGTAGAAGGCACACTTGAATTGAAAGCGATGAAAGGAACTGAATGTATATAAAAGATCGCCGTGACTGTTCAGAACCGGACGAACAGTCTATGGAAATAATGTTTACTTTGTGTATTATGCACGGTCTATTAAAAGCAACGCTAGCCATGGGGACCTGTGTTTACTGGGTAAAGTAGTTCAGAGATTTAATTATAAGAAGGCACTTTTTGTAGCGGCGAAGTGAACAACGTAGGAAACATTTGTATGTGTAATACTGAAATGTACTGTTATATCAGGCTGTCGGGGAGAGAAACAACTATGTCCAGGTATGTCATATATGTATATATCGTCCAAATTATAGCATGTATCAAACTATCATCTAAAACATCACTGACGTTACCTACAATTTTTTACTATAATTCGTTATTTTCCCACATAATCCCTATATAATTATCAAGATTAATGATTTTCAGTACTTCTTTGAAAACACTTAGTACACCTGTTGAAAAGCCTATTCTGGTGATTTTATATTATAACCAACTTTCATAACATGGGAACTGTCATGAATTTGATTTATAATATAACCAACTTTCATAACATGGGAACTGTCATGTATTTGAATTATATTATAACCAACTTTCATAACATGGGAACTGTCATGTATTTGAATTATATTATAACCAACTTTCATAACATGGGAACTGTCATGTATTTGTACATTGAAAAGAATATTAAAGTATCACTACAGCTCATGAAAAGATTGTATAACTTCTTTTTGACATGCAGTAAATACACATATTTTGACGTATTCATTGATCATGACCAGACAAAATATTTCATCCCAGGACGTATTATCTTCCTCATTAAGTGTGGTCTGTCATGGGGAATGAAACATCTAGCAAATCACAGAATGCAGCTGCAGAGCCGAAGAAAACGACGGCAGAAGATGAGACGAAGACGCCGACAGGAAGGGGGAGAAAAACAATACCTCAGAACGATGGGGACGATAAAGGAGAGGTCAGGAGTAATAGTAGACCAGGGAATGTTCCCAAACCACTGACAGCACTTTCTAATAGAAGTGAGGTAGGCACAGAACATGACAGTCATGCTCGCTCAACCGGATCGTTTTTCAAATGTATTGAATTACGTTGTTTGTAAATGACGCCTTGGCTCGAAAGCTTCATGTCGATGTATGCTAATTAACACAAGTGTAAATTGTACATGGCTTTCATATATTTTTCAGTACGCATTCATATTTACGATAATGGTTTTAAGCTTACATTTACCAATGTTCACGTGTAATCGATGTAAATCACCAAATATTCCACCTGTGAGTATGGTAATGGAAACATGTCGTATTTAAAAAAACAAATACGCAATACGGTATATATGAGTAGTTAAATAGTGACGACGGTGAAAGGCATATCTGTAAGAAGTTCGTTAAATATGCTACTCTACCAAATACTGTCTTCATAACTTCTATGCTTGTTTGTAGGAGGAATATGTTCGTTACCACGGAAACACTCCAATGGGACGGCTACAACGTAGTGACCTTTATCCATTTTTTAAGTACCAATATAGACCTCGTAGGGGCAGGGACTATCGGTTTAGTGTGAAAACTGCGTCTACAGGTTCGGATGTAGATGTCTCACCCAACCATATCCCTGCTGACCCCCCAGTAGGAGAAGTGGATGAGTCGGAGCTGGATGATACCAAGCTGACAGAGGCCGATATTTACGACCGAGCAAGGAGCGTACGTATACGTCAAGATATCTGACTTCTTAAAAAGAGGTATAGTTATTTCAAATTTAGGGTAGCCATATGATTCAAATATTGTGTTGACAAGTTTACTTATTTAGTGAGAAAGAAAAAAATCTTCAAAGGGCCTGTTTCCAGTAATGTTAATTCTCCATAGGAGCCTGCCCCCGTATAATTTCTTATCTAGCTCAACTACTGTTTTTTTCTTTTCCGAAGAATAATTTTACACCTTTCCGACACCCAGATTTCATAATTTCAGTGAAAATGTATTTTTATAAAGTTGTCAATTTCAGCATCAAAGACATAAGTTCGTAAATAAAAGAAGGTTATCTCGAAATTGTAATTCGCAACATAGTATAAATTTCTTTTGATAAATATTTCCAAAACATCGTGTTTATTCATAAAACA